CCTCAGCTTCTTTACAAGTCAGTGGTCGTCTTGGAGGTGTGTTTGGGGTCATTATATTGGAGTATTACCCTGCAGCCCAGTCTCTGAAGAGAGGGGATCATGTGTGGCTCAGCCCCTGCCCCCCCCCCCCCTCTCTCTCTCTCTCTCCTTACTGGCTCCTCAATGGCTCCCACTGCTGCTTCTCTGTCCAATGAGGAGAGAGAGAGCAGAGAAAGTCACAGCTCTTGTGCACATCACTGGATTGAGACTGGGCTCAGGTAAGTTTTAGGGGGAGCTGGCGGGAGAGCTGCATGCAGAAGGTTCTTTACACTAATGAATAGAATGCATTTAAAAGTAAATACCTTCCCCCTGCATGGGGCGCACCTTTTGCCCTGTTGGCGTTAGAGCACTGTTTTTCCTTTTTTTTATTATTTTGCATTTTGTTTATCTGTGCAATTGATAGCCCCTGCGTGGGCGTGTTTTATTGCCTCTGTTTTATACCGTTTAAAAATGAATAAAAACCATTGAAATAGAGAAAAAAAAAAAAAAAAAAAGGGTAAAACGTTTAAAAAAAAAAAAAAAAAAAAAAAGTAAATACCTTCTGCCTTTAGAATCACTTTAATAGCTCATTCCTACAAGTGGCAGCCCTTGCCCCTCTAAAAAGCGATCCATAGTAAATTACTTTTCAGAGGGAGATTGATAAGTGGCTGGAAGGCGATACATCGCCTCCATGTACCCTGTTTAAACACTAAAAAGACAGCACCAGTGTGGCAATCTCGTGCAATGCAAGTGGTTGTAGCACATCCCATTTCACTTGAACGGCTTGAATTTGGCGGTGGTGCTGCCCACCAAAAGGGACGGGGTATAATTTTTACACCAAAGCACTGCAGAAACACAGCACGTTACAGCTGTGAACGGCAGCATGTTCTTTTTTTAGGTGAATCATTGAACTGTGGCTCAGCTGGCTGTTTATGCCACCCTGTGACGGAGGTCTAAATGGATGAAACATGAAATGTCCATGTGTCTAGAGATGTACTGCGTTTCCTTTCAATTTATTTTGCCCTGGCATACAATATCTCACAGAAGTGAGTGCACCCCTCACATTTTTTGTAAATATTTTATTCTATCTTTTCATGTGACAACAATGAAGAAATGACACTTTGCTACAATATAAAGTAGTGAGAGCACAGCTATGGATTGCTATGGGGCACTTGGCAGGGGGGATGGTCAGGAGCGCTGGCGGGGGACCTGAGAAGAGGAGGATTGGTGCTGTACTGCGCAAAACCGATTTTTAAAAAATACAAACTGTGCTTTTAGAACCACTTTAAAAAGACCCTCCAAGTAGAGAAACAGATCTATTGTTCTGCCAGAAATGCACGCAGCTCCAGAGTCCTGTGGTAGATCCAATAGTTAGGAATGAAATACAGGACCTCTGGAGAACATATTACAAGAGTGCCCGCCAAGTGGTGTAAGAAGCAAGTGGTTGAAGGTGTCATTGAACCCTGGTTCACATATATGCGGCAGTACGGGCGGCGTTTTGCACAGGCACTAGAGCCCATTCATTTGAATGTACTCCCGTGCCACGCAGAGAAGTCCCTGCACTTCTTTTGAAAACGCAGCCCGTATGGAAACCTCGGTTCTCAGTACGGTTGCGTTTTCCAGTGCGGGCGGCGTGCCATTAGAACTAATGGCACCTGCCCGTTGGTCCGAATTTCTCTGTGCGGGTGGTGCGGCTGCACAGATTTTTGTGCGGATCGGCAGCGGCACCACCCGCACAAATGTGAACCTAGGGTTACGGAGACCCTGTTACTTTTCCATTAAGGGCACAGCAAAGGTGCCTCCATTCTGTTAGCAAGTTGTACTCACTACTTAAGAGACAGGAAGCGAGGGAAAAATCTCTTCTGTGGGGCCACTGAATAAAAAGTTATCCAAGGCATTCCTCGCCTACCACACACCAAAAGTTATAAAAAGAAAATGGAATTTATAGGTACCATACACATATGAAAAGTCATGCATTATATTAGAACATTGAAAATGTATAAAACATAATGAATACCATGGGAATATCAGCAATGAGGAAAATACAATGTGTAGACTTTGGGATTCCTTTCCATAAGGTTGTCTCAGCCAGCCAGTTAAAAGTGGTTGGAAAAGCTCGAGGTTTTATTACCTTCATGCATTCTATGCATGAAGATAAAAAAACCTTCTTGGTGCAGCAATGCCCCCAGCCCCCTCAATACTTACCTGAGCCCCATTGTGATCCAGTGATGTGCATGACAGCCTCGGCTGTCCCGTGTCTCTACCTTCTCAATGGCAGAGACAGCAAGCGGGAGCCAATGAGGAGAGAGGGGGTGGCTCCATGTGTGAATAAACAAGGGGTTAATCTGCCACATTGTGTAAAAAGAATGTTTGATCCTGTTTTCTCTGATCCTCCCCTTCTTTTACTGTCCTGAATAGAACTCCTGATAGAACAGAGGCTTGGAGTTACGTGCTCAGTTTGGTGTGTATTGCTAGAGAATTTTATTTTATTGGGAGAGTGCATGTGATTAGCACAGGGCCAATCAGCACTATCCAGACAGAGGGTGAGGGGTCATGTAGCCTCATAGGACAATCAGGGAAGAATGAAAACTCCTCCTACACGCTTTAACCAGTGCTCTGCTGGACACTGATAGAAGTCACAAGACTGCTCTAACTGCTGATGAGAACAGGTATTTAGCAGTTTATATTTACTAAAATAATTTACATGTTCTGTGTACTGTGGGAGACCAGATAGAGTGAATGCAGGGTCCTGGGTTTCTATGCATTAAGGTTAAAAACTGTCTGTGCTGCCGCTCCCCCCTTTTTCTTACCCGAGCCCAATCCGATCCAGCGATGTGCACAAGAGCAGCGATTCTAGCCACTGTCTCCCTCATCAGGCAGATTGATAGCAGTGGAAGCCATTGCTTTCTACTTCTGTCAATCAAATGCTGTGACAAGGGAACAAGGGGTGGGGCCGAGCCCGTATGGGTGCCCCCATGGAAAACGGCTTTCTGTGGGGGTGCCCGCCAAAGATGAGGGGCCAGAAGCGCTGGCGGGGGACCCCAGAAGAGGAGCATCAGGTCTTAGTGAAACTTCCTTCCGTTGTCATCTTTAGATGCATCCACACCATCACACCTGGCCCTGCATCCATACCATCACACCTGGCCCTGCATCCACACCATCACACCTGGCCCCGTATCCACACCATCACACCTGGCCCTGCATCCACACCATCCACACCTGGCCCTGCATCCACACCATCACACCTGGCCCCGCATCCACACCACACCTGGCCCCGTATCCACACCATCACACCTGGCCCTGCATCCACACCATCACACCTGGCCCTGCATCCACACCATCACACCTGGCCCTGCATCCACACCATCACACCTGGCCCTGCATCCACACCATCACACCTGGCCCCGTATCCACACCATCATGCCTACTGTCTACGTTTCCACCTACCATAGGCTTTTCTACACAATACGTAATTTGTAAGTGACTTCATATCTTAAGATTATGTATTCTAAATTTTACGGCTATTTACATTGTAAAATACTGTATCCTTTTTATTTATTCAGATGGTATATAAATCTCCTGAATAAAAGCATAGCCACAAAACATGTTGAGCTGGATTTAGCTATCCAGGGTTGTGGCAATCCTCGACCGTAATATAGTGTAAAGGGCACTCTGTTGTGTATCTTCAGCAGTGATAGTTGGGGGGGGGCTGGGACAACCCTAGCAAAGAAATCCCAAAGTCTACATGTGAAGATTGATTTACTAAAGGCAAATAGTCGTTGCACTACAAGTGCAGTTGCTCCAGAACTGAGGGGAATCATCCAATCATGTGCAAGCAAAAATGCTGTTTTTTATTTTCCTTGCATGTGATTGGGTATTCTTTGCAAAGTGAAGCTTTACCTCATTTACGAAGCTATGGAGCAGTGCACAGAACATTTGCCTTTAGTAAATCACCCCCATTGCATTTGCTGGATTGGTGATAATCCTATTTTTTTAATTATGTTTTATACATTTTTAATGTTCTAATAAAATGTATGAATTTTAATGTCTACGGTGCCCATTTTCTCTTTATAACTGTATTTTGGACCAGATTTGGGACATGGCACAGTCTGTTGTTGGTGTGCCCACAGTACCACCATGTGGTGATGTACACAGTCCTTAAAGTGGAGCTCCACCCAAAAGGGGAAGTTCCGCTTTAAGGACTGCTCACCCACTCCCCATTAAGGATTAGCACCTTTGGGGGGTGGGGAAGCGGGTACCCGAATTTGACAGGTACCTGCTCCCACTTCCGGTCGGATCGCATAGGCCAGGGGTAGGCAACCTGCAGCTCTCTAGCTGTTGTGGAACTACATTTCCCATGATACATTGCAAAATTGACAGTTACAACTATGACTTGCAGAGGCATGATGGAACTTGTAGTCCTGCAGCAGCTGAAGAGCCGCAGGTTGCCTACCCCTGGCCTAGGCGATCGGAAGCAGAAGGTGTCCTCCCTCCCTGTAGTCTTTTGGGACACATGACAGGTCCCAGAGGACTACAGGACCATTCATGAAGCGCAGTGCTACTCATGCGTGCGCAGTGGGTACCTGGCTGTGAGGCCGCAAGCTATCACAGCCGGGTGTCCACACTGAAGTTGGCGGCCTCCTGGAATCCAGGATGTCCGGTGAAACGGGCTGCTGGGGACACACCGCGGGACTGAGGGACAGGTAAGTGGCTGTTTTTTAAAAGTCAGCAGCTACAGTTTTTGTAGCTGCTGACTTTTATTTTTGACAGGGTGAGCAGAACTCCGCTTTAACATGACTGCCACAACACCAAATACTGTGGTTTCCTGGTTGCCAATCATGTACTTGTATAACTGTATTGCTGCGCAATCAAAGACTGAAGAGGGGAAAACAGAGGCAAAGTTCCATTCATTAAAGGTCTAAAATTTCCATCTTGCCAAGTTACGAACTTCATACACAATAATGTAAATTGCAAAGTCTCACCCTAGCCTGTCTTTGCTTTCTTCCGGAGTTAGCTGATCAAATGTCTTGGCATCATCTTTGCCCAGGAAGGCCTCATGGTCCTGTTGGAAGCTCTGATTCTCTTCATGAACCTGAGTGTTGAGATCAGGGTCCAGGCGTATCCTCTCCTTACGAAAGGTAGGTTTAGAGATCACCTCGACTGCACACAGTAGCAGCACGTATAGAAACTTATGAGGTTCCATCACCCTTCCAATAGCAGCACAGGAACTGCAAGACAAGACCAAGCCAAGGTTAATTTATTATTATTACACAGTATTTATATAGCACCAACAGTTTGCTCAGCGCTGTACATTATAATGGGAGACAGTACAGTAACAATACAATTAAATACACGAGGGGTTCAAGGGCCCTGCTCCTAGGAGCTTACAATCTAGGAGGGATGGGAGAGTGGTACAGGAGGAAATAGCTGTGGGGGATGGAGTGGTAGGAGGAGTGGAAGAGATCAGCAGTTAGGTGAGGGTGGGGTAGGCTTCTCTGAAGAGATGGGTTTTCAGGGTGCGCCTAAAGGTGAGGAGGGTAGGTGACAGTCTGATGGATTGGGATAGTGAGTTCCAGAGGATAGGGGAAGCCCTGGAGAAGTCCTGGAGATGGGCATGGGAGGAAGAGACCAGGGAACTAGAGAGTAGGAGGTCTTGTGAGGAGCGGAGAGTGCGTTTTGGGTGGTAGATGGATATCAGGTCGGTGATGTAGTTTGGGGCAGTGTTAATGTATTCATCTCACATGTACTTCTACCTATACACACAATGAAGGGAAATATACCAAAGCCTGAGGAAACAAAGTATTTATGGGCCAGAATCATTAGGCTTTGTTCTAATCTGACCTCTCAAACAGTATCATATGAGGAGCCACTTTAGCAAGCCTTCCGTGCCATCTTTATTTGAAGAGTCAGCCTCTCTCAACCAGGGTTTAGTGGAACCCTATGGTTCCTCCACAGGTTACTAAGGGTTCCTTGAACTGTGATTAGTTGATCTGTTCCCCCCATTTCCTCTGCGATGAACCAATGTAAGAATGATTTTGTCAAATCCAGTTTCAGAGCTGTCTTTCCCTGGCCATTACAGCTAGGGAAGCAGCTGATCAAACAGATCTGTGTTTGATCAGATGCCTTGGAGGGCAGGGGAGGCATCAGGGATCTAATAAACTCCTAATATCTCCACATAAAGAGTACCTGTCACTGCCCAAAGCTATCACAGCGGTCTTGTTCACCCTTATGATAGCAATAAAGGTAAATGGGGAAAAAAATGACAAAATTAATGTAAAAAAAATTAAAGCACCCCATCTCCTTATGCTCATGTGCAAATGTAAACACGCATGTAGTTCCGGCATGCATATGTAAATGGTGATTGAACTACACAAGTGAGGTATTGCTGCAAACATCGCAGTGAGAGCAATAATTCTAGTGTGGTAGAACACAATTAACTCTAAGCTGAAAATCTGTAAAGACTTTTAAAGTGTCGCCCTCCCCTTGTCTCTGTCCCGCACCGTCACTTGCTTCCACGCCTTACCTATGTCCCAGTACCACCCTTGTAGAGAATACAGAACGGAGTATCAATTTGTATGGAATTTGTTAATGATAACAAGAAAAGCAGTAGAATAGACCCCCTGCAGCCAGCGACAATAGACCCCCCTCCCTTCAACAATGCACTACCTGCAACAAAATACCCCCCAGCAACATTAGACCCACTCCAGCAACAATGCACCACCTGTAACAAAATACCCCCCCCCCAGCAACAATGCACCACCTGCAACAAAATACCCCCCCCCCCCCAGCAACAATGCACCACCTGCAACAAAATACCCCCCCCCCCAGGAACAATGTACCACCTGCAACAAAATAACCCCCCCCCCCCCAGCAACAATGTACCACCTGCAACAAAAATACACCCCCAGCAACAATGCACCACCAGCAACAAAATACACCCCCCCCAGCAGCAATGCACCACAAGCAACAAAATACCCCCCCAGCAACAAAATACGCCCCCAGCAACAAAATACACCCCCCCAGCAGCAATGCACCACAAGCAACAAAATACCCCCCCCAGCAACAATGCACCACCTGCAACAAAATACCCCCCCCAGCAACAATGCACCACCTGCAACAAAATACCCCCCCCAGCAACAATGAGCCTCCCAGCAACAATGAACCACCTGCAACAAAATACCCCCCCTTCAACAATAGACCCTTGGCAACGACAACAGATCTTCCCAGAGCCAGCATCCAGAGACCCTTCACCAGCTAGCACACTCCATCCTTCACCTATCCATTGCAGCTACAGGGACATTAGCCAGGCTCACAGAGCAGCTGGTAGTAATCAGTAAGTAAAGTCGGAGAGACATTTGTATTGAATGAATTTACACGGTGCAGTGGCAGCATTGAGAATGGAAACATCTATCAATGTGGTTATGACAGAACATTACTACGGAAAAGCTGAACATTTGTACCCCAGATAGGTCACTGTACACACTTCCTCCATTCACTTACACAACACTTTCATCACTCCCCTTCCTTCATTTGCGGGTGTGCGCCCTTTATCTCATCGCACCTTTACTGCTGTATCTCTCCACCTACAAGTGTGTAGCACCATGATAACCTGCAGGATCTAACTGCCTCCTGTACTTCTAGTCACCCCCAAAGGCCCCATCCACTTGCATTGCCAGCATTCAGTTAGATGGATCACATTTGTCTAGTTCAGCAGGGACTGGGAGAATTTCAATCCACTTGTGGCTGCTCCCCCTCAATGGACGTCAATCTAACGACTGACCTCTGTTGAATGGGCTTGTTGGAAACATTTTCAAGATCAGCAACTGCAGCTGCTGATCAATGTGTTCTCACAAGAGGAGTCCCCGCTGTCAGAATGGAATGTCCCATTGGGGAGGATTCCTCCATCCACCTCGATTGTATGAATATGGATGGGGGAAGCCGTTCATTATTTTTCAATGAGTCGGCTAGCTGATTGAAAAAGGCTTAGAAGTCATCCAAACTGTCCAGTGGAACACATACAGGGTATCCCTGTGCAGTCTGTCATTGGTAAGGAACACTAGAGAACAGCTAGCCACACACAGCTTCAATGTGGGGCGAATCGGACAATTCCAGCTGTGTGTTGCCCTGTTGTCACCTTCAAGCTGATGAACTTGGACTGAGAAACTGAAGATTAAACCCAATCAATGCAACTTATGCCTCGTAAGTGCGCAGTCACTGCTGCAGCCAATCAGTGCTCCCCGTCACCACTACCGCCACACCCAATAGAGGGCTACAGTCTCTGCCCCGTCAGCCAACCTCTGGCTTTGTTTTCTGGTTATTCTTATCCACTGCATGCCTGGCGTCTCTGAATGCACAGGGCCATAAAGCCCCAGGGAGACTGTGGCCGATCCCTCAGCCCCCGCAGGCGACCGTTGACGAACCCGCAGGCGACCGTGGACGAACCCTCAGCCCCCGCAGGCGACCGTGGACGAACCCTCAGCCCCCGCAGGCGACCGTGGACGAACCCCGCAGGCGACCGTGGACGATCCCTCAGCCCCCGCACGCGAACCGTGGACGAACCCTCAGCCCCCGCAGGCGACCGTGGACGAACCCGCAGGCGACCGTGGACGATCCCTCAGCCCCCGCAGGCGACCGTGGACGATCCCTCCGCCCCCGCAGGCGACCGTGGACGATCCCTCCGCCCCCGCAGGCGACCGTGGACGATCCCTCCGCCCCCGCAGGCGACCGTGGACGATCCCGCAGGCGACCGTGGACGAACCCACAGCCCCCGCAGGCGACCGTGGACGATCCCTCAGCCCCCGCAGGCGACCGTGGACGATCCCTCAGCCCCCGCAGGCGACCGTGGACGATCCCTCAGCCCCCGCAGGCGACCGTGGACGATCTCTCAGCCCCCGCAGGCGACCGTGGACGATCCCTCAGCCCCCGCAGGCGACCGTGGACGATCCCTCAGCCCCCGCTGGCGACCGTGGACGATCCCTCAGCCCCCGCTGGCGACCGTGGACGATCCCTCAGCCCCCGCTGGCGACCGTGGACGATCCCTCAGCACCCGGGGCAACCGTGACCAGGCCCTCAGCCCTTGGGCAGCCTTGCCCATTTGCTCACCCCTTGGTCAACCATGCCAAATGACTAAGACATGGGGCACCCAACATACTAAGACATCAAGCAACTGTGCCCAATCACTCAGCCACCCAAGAAACCTTTCCCTAAGCTACAGAGCCCTGGTCATAGCACAGGCAACCGTGCCCAACTACTCTAGCTCTAATTCACGCACACAGCCCCAAGTCACAGCACAGGAAACTGTGCCCCACCGCCGACCACTGGGCACACACACCTTCCACCAACTCCAGCACACAAAAATACCTACCCCCCCGACCCCTGGAAGCACACACATACCTACCCCCCCCCCCGACCCCTGGAAGCACACACATACCTCCCCCGACACGCACATACCTACCCCCGACGCCCTGGACACCCACATACCTACCCCCTGACCCCTGGAAGCAAACATACCTATGCCCAGGACACACACACACCTACCCCCCCGGCGCCCTGGACACGCACACACCTACCCCCCGACCCCTGGACACGCACACACTTACCCCCCGACCCCTGGAAACACATCTCCCCCCGACCCCTGGAAACACATCTCCCCCCGACCCCTGGACACACGCACACACACACCTACTCCCGACCCCTGGACACACGCACACACCTACTCCCGACCCCTGGACACACGCACACACCTACTCCCGACCCCTGGACACACGCACACACCTACCCCTGGACACACGCACACACCTACCCCGACCCCTGGACACACGCACACACCTACTCCCCGACCCCTGGACACACGCACACACCTACTCCCGACCCCTGGACACACGCACACACCTACTCCCGACCCCTGGACACACGCACACACCTACTCCCGACCCCTGGACACACGCACACACCTACCCCCCGACCCCTGGACACGCGCACACACCTACCCCCCGACCCCTGGACACGCGCACACACCTACCCCCCGACCCCTGGACACGCGCACACACCTACCCCCCGACCCCTGGACACGCACACACCTACTCCCGACCCCTGGACACACGCACACACCTACCCCCCGACACGCACACACGCACACACCTACCCCCCCGACCCCTGGACACGCACACACCTACCCCCCGACCCATGGACACGCACACACCTACCCCCCCGACCCATGGACACGCACACACCTACCCCCCCGACCCATGGACACGCACACACCTACCCCCCGACCCCTGGACACACATACCTCACTCTCGCTCTCTCCTGGACACACATATACCCCGGCTCCATGTCACCCGCTGTACTCTCAGCCATGCACTCACCTGGTTGCTCTGTATTCAGTCGCACACAGCCCGTCCCCCAGCATTAGGGTTGCCCCTCATCCCTTTGACACCCCCCCCCCCCCCCCCCCCCCCCCCCGGAACACATATTCATAATTCAGGCTCTGTGGCTGAATAGGGTGGGATGTAAACTCACTCAGTGCCCTATCTGCATGAAGTCAGCCCCAGAACCTGTGTCATGAATATGTGTTTGGGATGAGGGGCCAACCCTACCCAGCAGTCCCCGCACACCCTCCTCCACTCACCCGGCGGGTCACTCTCACCCTGCACTCACCATGTCACCATTCACTTACTTGCTCCGTACAGGGATGGGAGCCGCCCTCAGCCTATCCGGTGCGGGGAGAGGTTCTGAGCTGTCATCTGTCACGCCGCTTCCTATTGGTCGGGCCAGATTCAATGACTGGGAGGAGCCAGGGCGCCACGTTGCATCGTAGACCGGGGAGTTGTGTGCTGAGTGCGGCCGGCAGCGGAGGGGTTACTAGAGGGCAGAGGGAGCTCCGAGCACCGCCGGCTGTCCGCACCGACCTGAGATATCAGAGACTGGCACTGCCAAGGGCAGCCCCGGGGGTGCTGACAGTACAGTGCACCTTGTGTGACCCCATGAACCTGGACACATACAGGGGGCACAGGATTCCACTACATTATCAACAGACATTCTGTAGTCCTGAGCCACCTACCCCCAATGTGTCACCCCCCCCCCCCCCAACCCCGATACTGACTGCATAGTCCCACATTCCCTTCCCCCATCATTATGTCCTCCCTCCCCCATCATTATGTCCTCCCTCCAATCCCACACCTAGAAACATGGGCTATCTGGGGGCTGTACACTCAATGGGGGAGCTAGCCGCACGGATTTCAACAAGTTTTGCAATATGTACATTAAAGTGTTACTAAACCCACAACAGTAAAATCAGTCTATACAGTAAAGCATGCTTGTTATACTCACTGTGGAACCTAAGGGGTTAATCATCCGCATTGTGTAAAAAGGATGTTTGATCCTGTCTTCTCTGATCCTCACCTTCTGTCCCCAATCCATCTGCTGATAGGACTGAACCTTGGGGGCAAGCTTCACATGCTCAGTTCGGTGTCTGTTTTTGTTCTCTTGGGAGAGTGCATGCGTTCAGCACAGGGCCAATCAGCACTGTCCAGACAGAGGTCAGAGGTTATGTAGCCTCGGGAGAATTAAAACTCCTACAAGCTTTAACCAGTACTCTGCTGGACACTGATAGAAGTCACAAGACTTCTCTAACTGCTGATGAGAAAAGGTATTTAGCAGTTTATATTTACTACAATAATTGCATTTCCATGTTGTGTGTACTGTGGGAGACCAGATATAGTGGATGCAGGGTCCTGGGAGACCAGATATAATGAATGCAGGGTCCTGGGAGTCCAGATATAGTGAATGCAGGGTCCTGGGAGACCAGATATAGTGAATGCAGGGTCCGGGGAGACCGGATATAGTGAATGCAGGGTCCTGGGAGACCAGATATAGTGAATGCAGGGTCCAGGGAGACCAGATATAGTGAATGCAGGGTCTGGAGAGACCGATATAGTGAATGCAGGGTCTGGAGAGACCGGATATAGTGAATGCAGGGTCCTGGGAGACCAGATATAGTGGATGCAGGGTCCTGGGAGACCAGATATAGTGGATGCAGGGTCCTGGGAGACCGGATATAGTGAATGCAGGGTCCGGGGAGACCGGATATAGTAAATGCAGGGACCGGGAAGACCAGATATAGTGAATGCAGGGTCCGGGGAGACCAGATATAGTGAATGCACGGTCCTGGGAGACCAGATATAGTGAATGCAGGGTCCGAGGAGAAAATATATAGTGAATGCAGGGTCCTGGGAGACCAGATATAGTGAATGCAAGGTCCTGGGAGACCAGATATAGTGAATGCAGTGTCCAGGGAGACCAGATATAGTGAATGCAGGGTCCTGGGAGACCAGATATAGTGAATGCAGGGTCCTGGGCTTAGTAACACTTTAAAAGTAAAACTGAAAATGTAATATAGTGCAGTCATTAGCTGTGTTAGCTGCACTAGTTTTCTTTTTTTAGGCTTTCCCCACCTGGGGATCTGTCCAGTAACACATCTCCTGTAAAAAGATTGCCCTCACTGATGAAAGAGCACAGAGGGCACCTTTGGACAGCAGCATTGTCACTCTGAGGGGAGGGGAGTGTTAGATGGACTAGCAGATTTAGATACACTAACAAACTGAAGCCAAACTCCAGCTAATACTTTATAATCAATTACAGCATTTTTTTTCCTCTTGGGATAAAGGCTTTACATAAATAAGTACAAGCAGATCATTGTAAGAACCCCAACCAATGGTAAATGGTTTGTTTCTTTCCTGTAAACTGATACATTTGCAAGAGAGCTTGTTCTTTGGAGAAAAAAAAAAAAAAAAAACAATAGACTAACTTGCCATATCACCAAATGAAAATAGAAGAAACCTGAAAAAAGAAAACAAATGCAGCCATCATATATTTGGGTTCCCCTATAGCCATGCACAGCCAGGCATCACACATTTTCACTACTGCTTGCAGAAAGAGTCAGATATCAGTCCTTTGGTTTAGTTGTTTTATTGAGGGATTTGAATTGGGATGGGGTTAGGGGTGTACAGGATTGCCAAGGGTACTGACAGAGGAAAACTTCCTGGAACTATTTACAAGCCTTCTCTGCAGCACAGCTCGCCAGCATCTCCTTAGTGTACCACCCCAGCCCCTAGATGTACTTCTCCTTTTCACCCAGCAAACTGGAGGTATCCCTGAACAGGGGATCCGGATCCTGCCACTTTAACCACTTCCCTTCCGGCCCATGTACATAAGCGGCCAGACGGAAGCGGTGCCAAAGCTGGTCACCGTTTATAAACGGCCCCCGCATTCACTGCCTGGGAGCGCGCAGCACCACGATCCAGTGCCCGCTGTGTCTCGCTGTACAGCGGCCAATCAGTGATCACATGAATTGGCCAATCAGTGATCACATGAATAGTAGCAAACAAGATGTCACTTCCTGACATCATTGCTTACTACGTGTGAAATCAGTGATCACATGAATTGGCCAATCAGTGATCACATGAATAGTAGTAAACAAGATGTCACTTCCTGACATCATTGCTTACTATGTGTGAAATCTGTGAATGATCAACAGCCTTGTACCATGTGACAAGCTGTGACCAATCACAGCTCAC